CCTCCCTACAAATAAAAGTCCAGGACCGGACGGCTTCACCAGGGAATTCTACCAAACATACAAAGAAGAACTCATACCAGTCCTTCTCAAACTCTTCCAGACGATTGAAAAGGAGGGAATACTCCCAAACTCATACTATGAAGCCACCATCACCCTGATACCAAAACCAGGCAAAGACACTATCAAGAAAAGAAAATTACAGACCAATATCCCTGATGAACATAGATGCAAAAATCCTCAAGAAAATATTAGCAAATAGAATCCAACAGCACATGAAAAAGATTATACATCATGACCAAGTGGGGTTCATCCCAGGGACACAAGGGTGGCTCAACATACATAAATAAATCAATGTAATACACCACATCACATGATCATCTCAATAGATGCAGAAAAAGCATCTGATAAAAATTGACACCCATTTATGATAAAAACTCTCACCAAAGTGGGTATAGAGGGAACATATCTCAACATAATAAAAGCTATATATGACAAAACTACAGCCAGCACTGTACTCAATGATGAAAAACTCAAAACCTTCCCACTAAAATCTGGGACAAGACAAGAATTCCCACTATCACCACTCCTATTCAACATAGTCTTGGAAGTCCTAGCCACAGCAGTCAGGCAAGAGAGAGAAATAAAAGGGATCCAAATTGGAAAAGAAGAGCTAAAAGTGTCACTATATGCTGATGACATGATACTATATATAGCAAACCCTAAAAGGTCCACACAAAAACTACTAGAAATAATCAAAGAATTCAGCAAGGTAGCAGGTTATAAGATTAATGTACAAAAATCAGTTGCATTTCTTTACACTAATGATGAATCAATAGGAAAAGAATGTAAAGAAACAATCCCCTATAAAATAGCACCCAAAGTAAAAAAATACCTAGGAATAAATCTATCCAAAGAGGTGAAAGCCTTAAACATGAAAAACCATAAACCATTGATGAAGGAAATTAAAGAAAACTTTAAAAAATGGAAAGATATCCCATGCTCTTGGATTAGAAGAATCAATATTGTTAAAATGATCATACTGCCAAAAGCAATCTACAGATTTAATGCAATCCCTATCAAATTACCCAGGACATATTTCACAGAACTAGAACAAATCATAATAAAATTTATATGGAACCACAAAAGACTTAGAATTGCCAAAGTTTTACTGAAGAAAAAGAAAGAGCCTGGAGGAATAAATCTCTCAGACTTCAGACAATAGTATTGAGCTACAGTCATCAAGACAGCATGGTATTGGTACAGAAACAGACACATATACCAATGGAACAGAATAGAGAGCCCAGAAATGAACCCACAAACTTTTGGTCAACTCATCTTTGACAAAGGAGGCAAGAATATACAATGGAATAAAGACAGTCTCTTCAGCAAATGGTGTTGGGAAAACTGGACAGCAGCATGTAAAGCAATGAAGCTAGAACACTCCCTTACACCATACACAAAAATCAACTCAAAATGGGTCAAAGACTTAAACCTAAGACAAGATACAATAAACCTCCTAGAAGAAAACATAGGCAAAAGATTATCTGACATACATCTCAAAAATGTTCTCCTAGGGCAGTCTACCCAAGCAATAGAAATAAAAGCAAGAATAAACAAATGGGACCTAATGAAACTTACAAGCTTCTGCACAGCAAGGGAAACCATAAGCAAAACAAAACGACAACCTACGGAATGGGAGAAAATTTTTGCAAATGATGAAACCAACAAAGGTTTGATCTGTAGAATATATAACCAGCTCATACGACTTAATAAGAATAAAACAAACAACACAAACCTCAAAAAATGGCAAAAGACCTAAACAAGCAATTCTCCAAGGAAGAAATACAAATGATCAATAGGCACATGAAAAGTGCTCAATATCACTAATTATCAGAGTAATGCAAATCAAAACTACAATGATGTATCACCTCACACCAGTCAGAATGGCCATCATTCAGAAGTCCACAAATGATAAATGCTGGAGAGGCTTGGAGAAAAGGGAACCCTCCTACACTAATAGTTGGAATGCAGTTTGGTGCAGCCACTGTGGAAAACAGTATGGCGATTCCTCAAAAGACTAGGCATAGACTTATCACATGACACATGAATCCTGCTCCTGATCATATATTCAGAAGGAATCGTACTTTAAAAGACACCTGCACCCCAATGTTCATAGCAGCAGTATTTACGATAGCCATGACGTGGAAAGAACCTAAATGTCCATCAAGAGATGACTAGATAAAGTAGTGGTGGTATAATTATACAATGGAATAGTATTCAGCCATAAAAATGACAACATAATGCCATTTACAGCAACATGGATGCTTCTGGAGAATGTCATTCTAAGTGAGTTAAGGCAGAAAGAGAAAGAAAAATATGATATGAGATCTCTCATATGTGGAATCTGAAGAATAAAGAACATAAATATCAAACAGAAACAGACTCATAGACATAGAATACAAATTTTTGGTTGCCAAGTTTGGTGGGGAAGTGACAGAGTGGGAATCAAAATTTGTAGATACTAACAGTCATATGTAGAACAGAGAAACAAGATTATATTGTATAGTACAGGGAAATATATACAAGATCTTGTGGTAGCTCACAGCAAAAAAGAATGTGACAATGAATATATGTATGTTCATGTATACCTAAAAAATTGTGCTCTATACTGGAAACTGACACAATAGTGTAGAAAGACTATAACTCATTAAAAAAATAAGATAAAGTAAAATAAAATAAGTTTTGGTATAATGTTTCCAAAAACAAAGAATTTTTACCCTAATTTGTGTCCCATCAAATTAGAATCAGAAAATCAAATAAGTGAACCTGTATGTGATATTTTGTTACACTATCAAATCAGGCTACAGGTTACCAATTAATGCAATGTCTATTATTGAGCTTATTTTGTTTTCAGAATTTGCTATTTCCATAATCCTCCACCCCATTACCCAAGGCTTTGCAGCAGTTAGATGAGCAGCAGAATGGTTGTTGCTATGGATATCAGAGAGATGGGCTGTGTACACAGCACATGCTATATAACTTTCTTTGTTCAGACAACAGGGAACAAAATGTTTCTAATCAAATCAACGATCTTTAAGATGACAGTTGTTGGAATATTTAGCTCATGTCAGTGTTATTTTTAGTGACGCTGACATTGGGTTTTAAATGTCAGAAATGTGTTTTCTAGGAGAATCTTCTATTATAAGCATTTTTTACTTTCATAGCTCCTGTCATTTATTGGATCTTGTAAATTGCATGCTTGAAGTTTAAAGAGCTCTTTTATTTAGGTATGAATTTATGCTATATGGCAATGGTTCTCAAAGTGGAGATCCTTAAAAACCAACCAACAGGAACATGGGAAACAATCTCTGGATCTCTAGGCCAGAAACAGTTTATTTTGTCTCTTGCCAGAGTGGGAAAAACTGGTAATTTATGCACCAAGAACTATAATGCTCACAAGGGTATTATGTAGTGAGAAATGGGGAAAATTAAACCTTGACTAAATGGACCTACTGAGCACAGATTAAAAACAAGCCTTATGCAAGAGAAAGAAATAAAAGGGATCCAAATTGGAAAAGAAGAGGTAAAATATGCACTATATGCAGATGACATGACTTACTCATGACTTTCAGGAACAGCAAAAAAGCAGTGACCACAAGGGGCTCAACAGGTACCTAGGCTTGGTTGTTTGCTGCCCCTGGAGGTTTTTGGGTGATACGGGTGTCCCCTGTGAATCTCACTTCTGACACCAGAACTGTTAAATATAAACTGAAGAACACTAAAATCTTCATGAGTTTATATGCATGAACATTGGTTAAAATTTGGCAGCCCCAAATTAAAAGTGATTAAGAGCACTTCACCAATAAGAGTTAGAAGGAAGGTTTTTTTTTGTTTGTTTTTGTTTTTGTTTTTTTTGTAGGGAAGATGCAGAAGGAAAAGAAGAACATTAATTGGCTATAGCCTAAGTAGTTGCCTTTTGGGGGAAAGCCTAATTGGCTCTTTGCAATCAATTGTCGTTAAGTTTCATTTTCCTGGATTTGAAGGCATTAGCAAAGGCTTACATTTAGGTTTATTTATGCAGGCTACTAAGGGTTAGAGCCACTCTAGTCTAGTGGCCTTCTCATTTAATTACTTTAACAAAGTCTATAAGGTAGATATTACTATTTTTCTGCATATGTGGAGTATAAGGCTTAAAGATATTATGTAATTTATACAAGATTACATAGCTGAAAAGTGGTGAGACAGTGATTAGAATCCAGTCATGCCTCATTTCAAAGTATATGCTCTCAATCATCAAACTATTCTAAGACTAAGAATGGTCTCATTCATTTTTCATCCTTTGTAGTACCTAAAATTAGTAGTTTATATCTGTAGGTGTCCAATAAATGTATAAAATACCTGTAAATTTGAATTAGTCAGCAAAGTAAATCCCCAGAGAGAAGATTTCATTCTATAGAAAGCGTCATTTGGAGAAAAGATTCATAAACAAATGCAAACTAGGCTCATGAATTAACTGGTCTACAGGGCAAAATAGAATCTAATGCACTGGCTTTTCAAAAGGCTTTATTTGCATCTGATAAGAGAATAGTACTGTCTTTTTAAAATAAGTAAGTGTCTCTGTTTATGGTTGACTTCCGAGGAATATGTTGTATTTAGATGGAAGAAAAAAGTCATCACAAGGAAGCTATTCAGAAAAATAGGTTAACCTGAAGCCAAAGTTCCATGCTAATCTTAGTAACCTGTGAATGATGAAGAATATAATCTTCCTCTGATGAACAGACATTTTGCGATATCTAGTGAAATCAGCCTGGAATGTGTCAACCATAAAACAGTATTCAGTTGGAAACATCACTGTAGTTCTCCTAGTGAAGCAGGATAAACACGGCATACTCACCCCCACTCTGCTACCCAAAGATAATAACAGTAAAAATAGAAAGAAAAAAACTGAAGAAAGAGAGGGAGTGAGAGAAGGAAAGAGAAAAGAAGGAAAGAAGGGAGGAAATAAGGCAAAAAGGGAGGAAGGAAGGAAGGAAGGAAGGAAATAAAAACTACCAGATTTTCCTTAATATAGTTCATAGCATAAAGGTCAGATAAAACTCAGTGATGAGGGCAAGGCTGCTATGTATGGACGTTCAGGTTTTTCACTGCCCAAAGATGTTCCATTTAAGGAACATTTTTCACATTATGGATAAATACTGACTTATATGAGAAGGAGGAGGGGCATGTATATTCTACAACTCTCAACCAAGTTCTAGAGCAGAAGAAAGTACCATCTTATGTAAACCTACACTGGCACATACAATCACTTACACACTTGAGAGAGCACACATGCATACACTCACTGGCAAACACATGTGTGACTTGCACCTTGTCTCTGTTGAACTTCAATGTGTACCCTGAGGTTACTCTTCTCTCTTGCTCACAACTCTCAGTGTCTGATTCTAACCTCTCAGAAAGATTCCAAACCTCATCTAGTCACCTTATTTGGTGATGGGGATAGGACCTTAAAATATGAATACTTCCTACTGAATTTGTGACTTAGCATCTATCCAGAGTATGTGTGAGCTGGAAGACCTTGGAAGCACTTCCTCACTCAACCAGGGTTTCCTTCTACATAGGGCTGCCATATATGCTTATTCAGGTTGTACAATGATTTACTAATTTATTTATCTTTTTTACTTTCACTGAAGGAAGATGCTCCTTTTTCCAATTTACACAATGTTCCTAACTGAGAGGCAAAATCAGGTACAGTGGGGAACTAAGGATGGAATGGAGCGGAAGAGGATGATCAAACAGTGATTTATGCATATATTTTTGCTAATGGTTATCTCCTTTCTTCAGCATCATTGATCAGTAGTAACTTAATTATATGCATTTACTATGCATTATGCACTGGAGATGCAGAAAATGTTAAGGCATAAGTCCTGTCCTTAATGAATTTATAGTTTGGAATTATAAAATGTAATATAATCATACCACTTAACATTTATGAGAAATTTTATATAAATCAGCAAACTTTTGGCCATGCACTACTACATCATGCAATCATCTTTTGACACTTTTACAAAATGTCAGATTTCCAAAATGATAAGTAGTAACCATGCTTGGCATATTATGTAAGTATTATGTAAGTTTGCAGAGATGACTTAGAGTTGTGGAACACAGTGGCAATTTGACAGTCATCAAAACTCATTTGTGGACCTTAGAAATGAAATAATCATGTCCTTGGAGTACTGTCTTTCAAGTTCTCTGGACTTATGGTTTGTACCCATGAATCTACATTTGTGTGCAGTATATGAAACCAATGCTGTTTCTAATTCAGTATGACTTTCTTTACTTGATTCAATGATGGTTCATACTATTAATTTCAATGAAATAACCAAGACGTGAAGGGGTTGGGACAATCCCTTTATTTCCAGACTAAATTAACCTCACATGAAGATATAAACTTATGATTTGACCTTGTAGGAAAGAGTGAGCGGAGAAAGACATCATATGTGGAGAGAAAGGAGTGCTAGAGTGGTTGATTTTCTGCATACTATCAGAGTCAAGCCTGCTGTAGTAGGGACTGGACATTTCTAGATTGTCATTATAATAGGGTCATAATCAAGTCAGGGCAAACCATAGGGAAACTTTGTGTTGGGGATATGCATCAGGTAGCAGGAGTTGAGGATAAAGGCATGAACTTCCTTTTGATGACTGCCGTGCTTTGAGGTCAGAGTTGAGGAATATGTGTTTCTGACAGAAATGTCAGGCAAAAGAATTCCAGGCAATAAACAGGACTGGGAGCCTGTGTCATAGAGGAGGAGGTTGTTGTGAAAACACACATATGCATACTCAAGAGTTTACATTTGCATTTTGATCTCTCCATAGTATGATCCCAACTTATCCTTAAGGGAACTTCATGGTTTTTTTCTTTGGAAAGTATCATCCCCATCTCTTTCCATCCAAATCCTGTGTTTTCTTCAAGGTTCAGTTCAAGTACCTGCCATATCCTACACATGCAATCATTCACTCACCCATTCATTCAGTCAGCAAACAAATATTAAAATTTGGTTACTGAATCAACTTTTGCAGATTTCTACAGCTGGAAGCAATTTATGTCCTCTGAATCCTTTTAACAATTTGTTTGTACCTTTTAAAATGTCATTTACCATACTTGTACTATAATTTTATGACAAATAACTTATTTTTATTAAGCACCATGAAGACAGAAATAATTCTTATAATCTCTTTATGTACTTCACAATGACCTGAATGTGTCTGGTACATATTTTTGGATGATCCCCAGAGCCCTTGATGTACCCCCAGAACTCCTGTACTTCCCTTGTTCTAAATTTATTATTTCCAAAATATGCCAGGAGAGTCACTGTATCAAACACAGCCATATCTGTTGGTGAATGATTTTTCTCATGAGGCCACATTTATTAGAAAGGACCCTTTGTAAGTGTTTTGTGCTTCACACATATGACACTTTCAAAACAAATCTCCAGTTTGTTGAGCAAATGTGACCACACCAAAACGAGTAATGAGTCAAGATTTCAAATAGGTTAAGGTACTACTGTGTTAACTGGACAGTAAGAGATCAAGGATGGAACCATTTTTAAAGATGTGTCTTACTCAAAGTATCAAATCTCTTGTATCATCAAGAGAGCACTGTAGTTGCCTTTCCTATGCAATTTGGGCAATGAGGATACAGCAGTTATCAGTTTGACCTGAAGATGCCTTTGATGAAACCAAGCTACTGGCAAAAGGAACTAGCCATCTGCCAAATGACAGTTGATGAACCAGAAATCCCTTATTGTCCTATGAAAAGAGGCCCAAGCAAATTTAAGCAGAACAAGTTGATCAAAATAAGATTAGATTAAAGGGCTGGAAGTATACAGGCTGAAAAAAGTAGATTAAACTGTGGTGTTTTGATTTGGAACTATAAAAATTATTGAAAAAATGTGGCAGTGGTGGGGGGACTTCATTTTCATGGTTGCCAAATGTTTAATGAGAAATCATGGAGGTAAAAATTAGAGGAGAGAGTTTGGGCTTAGTATCAGTTAAAACTTTCATCAGTAATATCTTTTTAGATTAAAGCATGGTCTCTAAGAGTATATGACAGTATCATTTATGGCATCTCAACATGAACTGTGCAATATTTTTGAAGGCTGATCATAGAAAGTAATCCCATGTTGGCAAGAAAAGCCTCTAAATGTTTCTTAACCCTCCATTTGGTGTCTCACTCTTATGATCATGTTCATACTTTTATTTTTGTTATAACACATATTTAAAAGGCCAGCTAGGAAAATAAAAGAAGAATTTGATTTGGTAAGCTCTGAGTCATCAGTAAATGAAATGTTGCAAATGAAGCTAGATAAAATTTTGTCATGAATTTGTTGAGTCAGATAGAGAAAACTGGCATGGAATTTGTTAATAGGCAACCAGTTAATTTTAGCAATCAAAACAATAACAGAGTAGAAAACAGGAGAGAAAAAGAATAATTTTTTGATAGGGAATGCTGTTACTCATTGGAATGGTTTCCTTTAAAGACAATCCATTTTGCTTCTTACTGTTTCCATAGTGTCTCCAGAGAGTTTATTTGGGGCCCAGAGGTTCAGAGTGGGGCTTGAAAAATAGTGACATAGACAGTTTGTTTTCAACTCCACCATGCACATACCCTTTATGATTAGAAGAGTGGTGAGTAAGACTTCAGATATTACGTACTCCATCAGTTTTATCCCTTTTTTAAAAATTAAAAAAAATTGGAACAGGAGGTAATTTTTTTTTTATTTTAACAGAGGTACTGGGGAGTGATCCCAGGACCTTGTGCATGCTAACCACAAGCTCTACCACTGAGTTATACACTCACACCTCCAACTCTACCTTTTTCAAATGAAAGAGAAATTTGAATCTAAGGAGGGAAAGGATTTATCAAAGGTCATAAGTTATAATTTCTAGAAAACTAGATATTTCAACTTCTAGGCCAGTGTTCTTTCCACCACACCATGGTGTTTATAGTGTTCCTGTTCCTCCTTTCCTTTTAGAGTCTGTTGAACCCCCATGAACCCAACAACAAACTTAGATGTTCATCTTATACATTTTTTTATTTTAGATGCACATACTTAGTCTTTCTCCATCACTGTCAGAACTCTTCTCTATGCTAGAAAATAAATAATAAAGACACATTAATTTGCCTTTAGCAAGTGGTGTTGGGAAAGCTGGATAGCAGCATGTAAATCAATGAAGTTAGAACACTTCCTCACTCCATACATAAAAATAAACTCAAAATGGCTTAAAGACTTAAATGTAAGACAAGACATGATAAATCTCCTGGAAGAAAACATAGGCAAAACATTCTCTGACATAAATATTAGCAATGTTCTCCTAAGGCAATAGAAATTAGAACAAAAATAGACAAATGGGGCCTAACTAAGCTTACAAACTTTTGCACATTAAAGGAAACCATAAGCAAAACAAAAAGACAGCCTATGGAATGGGAGAAAATATTTGCAAATGATGCAACTGACAAAGGCTTAATTTCCAGAATATATAAACAGCTCATACAATGTAATGACAAAAAAAGAAACAACCCAATCCAAAAATGGGCAGAAAGCCTAAACAAACAATTCTTCAAAGAAGACACACAAATAGCCAATAGGCACGTGAAAAAATGCTCAATATCACTAATTATCAGAGAAATGCAAATCAAAACTACAATGAGGTATCACCTCATACCACTCAGAATGGCCATCATTCAAAAGTACACAACTGATACATGCTAGAGAGGCTGTGGAGTAAAGGGAACCCTCCTACATTGCTGGTGGGAATTCAGTTTGGCACAGCCATTATGGAAAACAATAATGGAGATTCCTCAGAAAAGTAAAAATAGACTTATCATATGATCCAGCAATCCCACTTCTGGGTATATATTCAGAGGGAACTCTAATTTGAAAAGACAAATGCTCCCCAATGTTCATAGCAACACTGTTTACAATATCCAAGACATGGAAGCAACCTAAACGTCCAATGA